CCCCCCCCGGGCCGCCGCCCGCAGCAGCTTCTCCAGTTGGTACTTCAGGCCCAGCTCGAGGGGGCGGAGCTTCTCCAGCACCTGCCGAGAGGGCGGGGCTTCATTTATTCTCCTTTAAACCCCCAAAAATCCAACTTGTTCCCTTTTAAACCTCCCAAAAATCCAATTTATTCCCCATAAATCCAATTTTTTCTCTTTTAACCCCCCCAAAATTCCAATTTATTCCCCCCAAAATCCAATTTATTCCCCATAAATCCCCCCAAAATCCCATTTATTCCCCTCAAAAATCCAATTTATTCCCCTTTAAACCCCCCGAAAATCCAATTTATTCCCCATAAATCCCCCAAAAATCCAATTTATTCCCCATAAATCCCCCCAAAAATCCAATTTATTCCCTTTAAATCCCCCCAAAAATCCAATTTATTCCCATTTAATTCCCCCAAAAATCCCATTTATTTTGAATAAATCCCCCCAAAAATCCAATTTATTCCCATTTAACCCCCCAAAAATCCCATTTATTTTGAATAAATCCCCCCAAAATTCCCATTTATTTTGAATAAATCCCCCCAAAAATCCAATTTATTTTGAATAAATCCCCCCAAAATCCCATTTTTTCCCCCCAAAATTGAATTTCTTTTCCCTCCCTCACCACTCTGGTCTCGAGGAGCCTTTCCAGGGCCCCCCCCGAGTTTTTGATGGATTTTCCCCGGATTTTGGGGGTGAGGAGCAGGGTCAGGTCCTGCAGGTACCACAGCAGAGCCTGAGAGCGAACGTGCAGCAGAGAAACCCCCTGAAAGGACCCAAAAACTGCTTAAATACACCCAAAATTGACTTAAATCTACCCAAAATCCATTTAAATCAACCCAAAATTCATTTAAATCCACCTAAAATTAGCAAAAAGCCACTTAAATCCACCTAAAATAGACTTAAATCCACCCAAAATCCACCTAAATTCACCCAAAATCCACTGAAATCCACCCGAAATCCACCCAAAATCCACTTAAATCCACCCAAATCCATCCAAAATCCATTTAAATCCACCCAAAATTGACTTAAATCCACCCAAAATGAGCCAAAATCTATTTAAATCCACCTAAAATTGACTTAAATCCACCCAAAATCGACTTAAATTCAGTTAAATCCACCCAAAATTGACTTAAATCCACCCAAAATTGACTTAAATCCACCCAAAATGAGCCAAAATCCATTTAAATCCACCCAAAATCCATTTAAATCCACCCAAAATTGATTTAAATCCACTCAAAATTCATTTAAATCCACCTAAAATTGACTTAAATCCACCCAAAATGCACTAAAAATGCACCCAAAATCAACTTAAATTCAGTTAAATCCACCCCAAATCCACCCAAAATTCACCCAAAATCCTCCCAAATCCATTTAAACTGACCCAAAATCCATTTAAATCACCCCAAAGTCCACCCAAAATCCACTTAAATCCACCCCAAATCCATTTAAACCCACCCAAAATCCACTTAAATTCACCCAAAACCAACTTAAATTTAGTTAAATCCACCCAAAATCCATTGAAATTCACCCAAAGTGCATTTAAATCCACCTAAAAATGACTTAAATCCACCCAAAATCCACTGAAATTCAGTTAAATCCACCCAAAATCCACTTAAACCCCCTCGAACCCCCCCAAACCCCCCCGAAACCCACCCAAAAGCCACCGAAATTCACTTAAAAGCTGGAAAAAAATCCCCAACAAACCCCCAGACTCCCTTTTAACCCCCCCAAAACCTCCTTTTAACCCCTTTTAATCCCTTTTTTAACCCTTTTTTAACCATTTTTACCCCTTTTTAACCATTTTTAACTCCTTTTTAACCCTTTTACCTGGCGCGTCTGCAGCCGCCCGCCCCGGACTCTCCGCAGCATCTCCCGCCCGTGCGCCGCCACCTCCGACACCTGCGGGAGACCCCAAAAATCCCTTTTTTGGTTATTTTTGGGGCGTTTTCACCCCTTTTCGGACGTTTTTTGGGGCGTTTTCGAGGTTTATTGAGGGTTTTTCCTCTCACCTGCCCCCGGAGCGCCTCCAGCAGCGCCACCGCCTCGCCCGCCGCCATCTTGGATCTAATCGTGAGGGGGAGAGGCCTCGGCCAATCAGCGCCGAGCGCGCGAAGCTTTAACCAATCGGCGTGAAGCGTCGCCTCGTTGTCCCGCCCCTCCCCGCGCTGATTGACGGGCGGGACGACCAATCGTAGCGAGGGGTTGGAGAAGGGAGCCAATAGCGAAGAGGGAGGGCGGGATTAGGGTGTTGATTGACAGGAGCGGCGGCCAATGGGCGGCGGGGGTTTCGTGAGGGGAGGTTTCGAAGCGCCGCGGGGTCCTAAAAACCCTCCGAAAAGCCCCAAAAAAACCCCCGAAACCCCCAAAAATCTCCAAAAAAACCCTTCGAAACCCACAAAAATCATCTCAGGGACCCTCAAAACCCCCCCGGGACCCTCTAAACCTTCCCCGGGACCCTCAAAATCTTCCCCGAGACCCTCAAAAAACCCCCTCAGGGCCCCCCCCCAATCCCCAAAGGTCCTGAAAGGTCACAAAAATCCCTCCCCGTCCCAAAATTCCAAATAATTCCCCCTAAAAATTCCCAAAAAATCCCTAAAAATCCCTAAAAATCCCCCAAAACATCCTGGGACCCCAAAAGCCCCCTCAGGATCCCCCCGGAGGCTTCTTCATATCCCCAAATACCCCTCAAAAGGTCCTGAAAGGTCACAAAAAAAACCCCTAAAAAAGTCCCCAAAAATTAAAAAAAAATTCCCAAAAATCTTTAAAAAAATTCCCAATAAATCCCCAAAAACCTCCTTCAAATTTTTCATTCCTGAAAGGCCCCAAACCCCTTTTTATCCCTCCCCAAAACTCCTTTTACTCCCCCTCAAAGGTCCTAAATGCTCCCCTAAAAAATCCCTCTAAAATCCCTCCAAAATCCCCCAAAACTCCCCAAAAAATCTCCCAAAACCCCCCCAAAAATCCCCTGAAATCATCCAAAAAGTTCCCCAAAAAGTCCCCCCAAAATCCCCAAAAACCCTCCAAAAAATCCCCCCCAAAAAATCTCCCAAAGCCCCCAAAATTCCCCCAAATCCCTTCTAATAATTTTTTAAAATTCTCCGAAAATTAAAAACAAAAACCCCAAAAGCCCCTAAAAACTTTATTAAAACCCTCCAAAATCCCCCAAACCCCTTAAAATCCTCCCAAACCCCATAAAAAAAATTAAAACCCTCCAAAAATCCCCCGAAACCCCCCAAAAAATCCCCCAAAAACCCCTTAAAAAATTCATTAAACCCTCCAAAAAACCCAAATCCCCCCAAATATCCCCCAAACCTCCCCAAAAATCCCCTAAAAAATGTGTAAAATCCCTCAAAAATCCCCCAAAAATCCCCCAAAACCCCCCTAAAATCCCCCCCAAAAATTTCCAAAACCCACCTAAGAATTTTTAAAATTCACAAAACCCCCCAAAATTCCCCGAAATCCCCCAAAAGTCCCCAAAAACCCTCGAAAAAAAAATTTTTAAACCCTCAAAAATCCCCAAAACCCCCTAAAAAATTTTTAAAACCATCCAAAAACCCCCAAAACCCCCCCAAAATATCCCCAAGTCCTCAAAAAAATCACCCAAAACACCCCAAAATTCCCCTAAACCCCCCCAAAAATCCCCCAGACCAGCCCGAAAAAATCCCCCAAAACCCCCTAAAATATTTTTAAAACTGCCAAAAATCTCCAAAACCCCCCAAAAAATCCTCCAGACCCCCCAAAAAAATCCCCCAAAACCCCTTAAAAAATTTTAAAATCCCCAAAATCCCCTCAAATATCCCCCAAAAATCCCCAAAAATCCTCCAAACTCCTAAAACCCCCCAAAAATCCCCCCCAAAATTTTCAATACCCTCCAAAATTCCCCAAAAAAATTCCCCCCAACCCCCCCAAAAATCCCCTAAAAAATGTGTAAAATCCTCCAAAATCCCCAAACCCCCTTAAAAAAACCCTAAAAAATGTTTAAAAGTCTCCAAAAACCCCCATAACTCCCCTAAAATCCCCCAACCCCTCAAAAAAACCCTTAAAATTTTTTTAAACCTTCCAAAATCCCCGAAATCCCCCCAAAAATCCCCTAAAAAAATTTTTTTAAATACTGAAAAACTCCCAAAATGCCCCAAAAATCCCCCAATTCCCCCCCAAAAAATCCCTAAAAACCCCTTTAATAATTCTTTAAATCCCCCAAAACCCCCCCAAAAATCCCCCAACCCCCCCAAAAAATCCCCCAAAACCCCCTAAAAAAACCTTTTAAAACCCTCGAAAATCCCCCAAAACCCTCCAAAAAAAAAGACAAAAAAGGTTTTAAAACCCTCCAAAATCCCCAAAAGTTCCCCAAAAATTCCAGAGCGATTTTTTTTAACCCCGAAATCCCCCAATTCCCCAAAATCCCCCCCAAAAAACCCCTAAAAATTATTTTTAAAACCCAACAAAAATCCCCCGAAACCGCCAAAATCCCCCCAAAAATCCCCTAAAAGATTTTTTAAATCCTCCAAAATCCCCCAAACCCGCCCCAAAAATTCTTTAAACCCTCCAAGACCCCCCAAAAATCACCGAAAAACTTTTTAAAATCCTCTAAAATTCAAAAAAAACCCCCCCCAAAAAACCCTCTAAAATACAAATACAAATATAAGTATAAACATAAATATTAAAATACATCCCCCCAAACCCCCAAAAATCCCCCAAAACCCCCAATCTATAAATATAAATGTAAGTAGAAATATAAATATTCAAATAAATCCCCCAAAACCCCCTATAAATATAAATATTAATATAAATATAAATATAAATATAAATATAAATCCCCCCAAAACTCCCAAAAACTTTTTAAAACCCCCCAAAACCCCCCCAAAAAATCCAAACTTCCACCTCCCAAAAAACTACAAACGACCTCAAACTCTTTATTCCCAATTTTTCCCGGGGGGCGTGGCTTAAGGGAAGGGGAGTGGGCGTGGCTTCCGGGGGGGGGTGGGCGTGGCCTCAGCGCCGCCCCCCCCGATCCCTCAGGGGGGGGCTCCGGGAGCGGCTCCGACGCTTCCGGTGCCCAGCGGGGGGCGCCCTGCCGGACGAGGAAGCCCCGCCCCCTTTGCGGGAGGAAGGGGCGGAGCCGGCCCGGGAGGAAGGGGCGGGGTTTCCGCCGGAAGGGGCGGGGCCGGAGGCGGAAGAAGCCCCCGATTGGCGCTGGCGAAGCTCCTCCTCCTCCTGCTCCTTGCGGCGCCGCTCCCGTTCCCGCGCCCGCGCCGCCCGCTCCGCCTGCTTCTGCACGAACTAATTAATGCAAATATATGCTAATTAGATGCTAATTAGATACTACAGGACACGCCCACCATTGCTCTAATCAATCAACCCCAAATTTCCCACTTTTCGCCTCAAAATAAATGATAAATAATAATTATTAAAAAATAACAGTAAATAATAATAAATAACAATAAACAATAATTAATAATAAGTAACAAATAATAATAAACAAAAATAAACCAAAACCCAATAATTAATAATTAATAGTAATAATAAATCATAAAGAATAATTAATAATTGGTAATAAATAGCAATAATAAACAATAATTAATAAAAAATAACAAATAATAATAATAAACAATAAATAGTAAACAATAATCAATAATAAATAGCAATAAAAATTAATAAACAATAATTAATAATTATTAATAAATAATAACCAATAATTAATAATAAATAACAAATAATAATAATAAACAATAAATAGTAAACAATAATTATTAATAAATAACAAATAATGAATAATAAGTCAATAATAGTAAATAATAAACAATAAATGATAAATAATAAACAAAAATTAGATACTACAGGACACGCCCACCATTGCTCTAATCAATCAACCCCAAATTTCCCACTTTTCACCTCAAAATAAATGATAAATAATAAATAATAAATCATAAATCCTAAATAGTAATAATAAATAATAAGAAATAATAATAAACAATAACTAACAAACAAAAATTTCCCACTTTTCACCTGAAAATAAAGGATAAATAATAAAAAGTAAATAATAAAAAATAAAAAATAAATAATAATAAGCAATAAACAATAAACAAAAATTTCCCACTTTTCACCTCAAAATAAGTAATACGTAATAAAAATAATAAATAATAAATAATATTAAATAATATTAAGTAAAAATGAGCAATAAATAATGAACAAATAAAAACAAATAATAATAAATAAGTAATAATAATAATAAATAATAATTAAATCCCAAAATTCCCATATTTTCCCTTCAAATTCCCACATTTTCCATAAATCCCACTCAAAGTCTCCTTTTTCCCCAAATTCTCCCAAATTTGACCCAAATTCCCACATTTTCCCCAAAAGTTTCACCCTAATTTCCTCCGCCTGCTTCTGCACGAACTGAGTATGCAAATAGATGCTAATTAGATGCTAATCAAGCAGCAGGGGACACGCCCACCATTGCTCTAATCAATCAACCCCAAATTTCCCCAATTTAACCCAAAATTTTGAGGATTTTTAACCGAATTTCAGAATTTTCCCCCTTAAAATTCCCAAATTTTCTACCCAAATTTCGGCTTCAATTTCCCAAAATTCCCCCAATTCCCCCCAAATTTCCACATTTCCACATTTTCCCCGATTTTCCCCAAATTTGACCCAAATTTCACATTTTCACCCCAAATTCCCACATTTTCACTCCAGATTTCCCCATTTCCCCTCAATCCCACTCAAATTCTCATTTTTCCCAAAATTTCACGAGTTTGACCCAAATTCCCACATTTTCACCCCAAATTTCCACATTTTTCCATAAATTCCACTCGAGTTCTCCTTTTTCCCCAAATTTGACCCAAATTCCCACTTTTTCTGCCCAAACTTCCACATTTTCCATAAATATCCCTCAAATTCTTGTTTTCCCTAAAATATCCCAAAATTTGACCCCAATTCCAACATTTTCCCCTAAATTTGTCCGAAATTTCCACCTTTTCCCCCTAAATTCCCACGTTTTCCATAAATTCCCCCCAAATTCTCTTTTTTTCCCAGAAATACCCCGAAATTTGACCCAAATTTCCACCTTTTCCCTCCAAATTTCCACATTTCCCAGAAATTTAATTTAAATTTTCATTTTCCCCAAAATTTCCCCAAATTTGACCCAAATTCCAACATTTTCCCCCAAATTTGACCCAAATTTCCACATTTCCCATCAATTCCACTCAAATTCTTCTTTTTCCCCCAAAATCCCCCAAATTTTTATTTTTTCCCCCAAATTTTTTATTTTTCCCACAAAATTCCATCATTTTGTCCCAAATTTTCACTGTTTTTCCCAAATTTTCCCCGTTTTCCCCCAAATTTCCCCCTTTCCCTCAACTTTTAATTTTTCCCCAAATTCCATCATTTTTCCCCAAAATTTCACCATTTTTCCCCAAATTTTCCCCATTTTCCCCCTTTTCCCCTAAATTCTTATTTTCCCCACAAAATTCCATCATTTTACTCCAAATTTTCACTGTTTTTCCCAAATTTTCCCCTTTTTCCCCCAAATTTCCCCTAACTTTTTGTTTTTCCCCACATTCCATCATTTTCCCCCCAAATTTGCACCATTTTTCCCCAAATTTTCCCCGTTTTCCCCCAAAATTTTTATTCTTCCCACAAAATTCCATCTTTTTTTTAATATCAAATTTTACCTTTTCCCCCCAAAACTTTTATTTTTCCCACAAAATTCCACCATTTTTTGGGCCAAATTTCACCATTTTTCCCCAAAATTTCACCATTTTCCCCCAAAATTTCACCATTTTCCCCCAAATTTCACCTTTTTCCCCTTAAAATTCTTATTTTTCCCACGAAATTCCATCGTTTTTTGGGCCAAATTTCACCTTTTTTCCCCCCAAACCTCCCCCAATTAACTCTGCCCCTATGCAAATGTATGCAAATGAGGCCCCGCCCACCTGGGTGTCGGTCAGGGGCAGCCAATAAATGCACGGAGCCGCTTTGGTTTTCCGGAAAAGGTCGTCCAGGAGCTTCGCCGGAGGCTCCTCCGGGGCCTTGTCTGCACAAAACCACCCAAATTCACCCAAAATCCACCCAAAATCCACTTAAATCCACCCAAAATTCACCTAAATCCATCCAAAATCCCCTTAAATCCACCCAAAATCCACTTAAATCCACCCAAAATCCGCTTAAATCCACCCAAAAACCCGCTTAAATCCACCCGAATTCACCCAAATTCAACCAAAATCCACTTAAATCCACCAAAAATTCACTTAAATCCACCTAAAATACATTTAAATCCACCTAAAATTCACCTAAATCCACCCAAAATCCGCTTAAATCCACCCAAAATCCGCTTAAATCCACCCAAAATCTGCTTAAATCCACCCAAAATTCACCCAAAATCCACCCAAATCCACCCAAAATCCACCTAAAACACCCCAAATTCACCTAAATCCACCCAAAATCCACTTAAATCCACCCGAACTTACCCCAAATCCACCCAAATCCACATAAATTCACCCAAAAAACGCTCAAATCCACCCAAATTCTCTCATTTTTCCCACCAAAAATCCTCAAAATTTCCACCCCAAATTCCCCCCTTTTGCCCCAAATTTCCACCCCCAAATCCCCCCAAA